GGCGGGTGAGGGTACTCGGTCGACTCCGAAGGCGCCGGGTAGCCCGTGGTGGGTTTCGGCGGCGGGGGCGCATAGTAGTCAGAAGACTTGGGGGGCGGGTGAGGGTACTCAGTTGACGAAAAATCGTATGTTGGGTACTCCTCGTACTTGGAAGGCGTGGGAGTGTAGACGGGGTAGCTCTTCACGTCCGGAGACTTGTAAGCGTACTCGTCCTCCGAGGTCGAGGACTCGACCGGGTAAGCTGGGTAGTTCTCCGAGTACGCAGGAGTCGGCTTGGGAGTGTAGATGGGCTTCTCCTCGGACTTGGTGGGGTAAGGGGTGTAGTGCTTGTCCGCGGAAGACTTGGCAGGATACCAGACCTCTGTGGACTTGTCAGGCGAAGAAGAGGGCTCGTCAGCCTGTGCTTTGGTTAGAATCAAAGTATCGAGTGCCTTGAATCGAGTGGTGCTTACCGGAGCTGAGGCTGAGTAACCGTACTGCGGGACAGCGGCAGCCGCGCCCATGAGGGCGAGCATCGTGGTGGTGACCTTCATCCTGTTTCTAGTGACGATTGGTCGAGTGCTCGAAAGAGTGAGGCACAGGTGGTGAACGAAGGTGAGTTTGCAACCGTAGCGAGCGAGTTGCAGTTGGTGTAGGACAAGCCTTTATGGTTGATGGAAAAGGAAGGGCGGAGAGGGGAAGTCGACCCTAATATGCATCTTCTGGGAGAGCCACTAAACACTCACCCAGCCATCTGGAGCATCTTGCAGCACGAACCACGGCTAAGGTTGCATGCGCTAGGCTAGGTGATGGAGTTGAGTCCGGCACCGTTCCTTGATAGTCCACGGGCTGGTGGTGAGCTTCGCCTTGCTCCACTGACGGCAAGTTCTCTGAAAAGTGGGTCCCGTGGGATGTGGGTGAGAGCGTGAGTGGCTCGAAAAGGTAAGCACAATGCAGCCGAATTCGGGATACGATAGGTCGATTACCTAGTAGCTCGTAAAACCAATGTTTGATCAGGCCAATTAACGAGTGAGCAAGTATCTGCATGCATGAGAGAGGCAGGGGATGCTGGCGAGTGCTGGGATGCTGCGGTATGTAAGGCTTAAGCGATCGTGTGAACACTATATTACCTTCGTGCTGACCAACTTACAGCAATGGCTGGGCATGTAGGTTGCGTGCATGCTGTCCGCCATTACGCCATGGGACATACTCATCCTCTCGTAATCATCTCTTTCAGCGAGCCTCGCGCCGTGGTTGTCGATATTGATTTGTGTGGATACATCGATCGTTTACCTTTGCCTGCACTAGTGTGAGCCCCATCAGCAAGTGCCCGTATTAGACTTTTGGTAGAGCCAAGCTATGATGTAACCACAGCCAGAGTCACGACCGGCTGTCTGGGCGGATGTAGCGTGGTTGCCGTTACTGAACCAAAAAAACTGACCAGCCTCAAAAAGCTTGGTATCTATCAATAGCAGCACTTCCGGCCCTGAGGCCGATCCGGCGAGCTAGCTTTACCGCGCTATGAGCGGTAGTCCATGAGGCATGGCTGCCTTGCCCACATCGCAAATGTTGTCTATAGCAGCCCAATCCTTATTCCGTGCTTGCTCTCTCCCAGAGCAGCTCGAGGTACCGTGCCTGTGGCCAAGCGTGTCAAAAAAAAAAGCCTCCGGATCATATCGCGCCGTTGCTGGGAGAGAATTTACGTTCTAGAGCAGGCGTGCATGAGCGGGCTGGTCGCTATCGCGATGGCGGGGCAGCAGCGCTGCTTGGGTGCGTAGCGAAAAGCCGTTGTCTGCGGCACAAACCCATGGCCGACCAAGCCGATCGCTGGCAGGCATCGTTATCGAAGTCTCGGGAGGTTCTGCGCCATGCAGCATCGTTGCTGGGTTCCCTGGCGGGAGGTTGGGTGCCCTTCTTTAAGGCGCACCTGCATCGTCTACCCCGCCTTCGCAGCATTTCATCAAAGGAATCGCAGAAGACGCCCATGTCTTGCCAGTGCACAATTTGAACGACCGTCGATACACTGGTGCCTGGTGTTCCTGCGCGGGACCTGCAGAAGCTTCCGGCGCCGTTCTGTTAGGCAAGTTGATCTCACTTTTATCGCGTGAGCGCCCCTCTCGTGACGGAGGGCAAGCGAGCTGCTGTGAGACGCGAATTCAAAAACCGCGCTTGGCTCGTAGACCGCCATGGCTTTCACCTAGCCCCCAATCAAACAGCAGAATCGCCGTCTTCCCAGAATCTTCGAGAGCACGAGATGCCGTGAACTCAACACATGGCAGTGCGTCGATGCCGCCCCCGCCGCTCCCGCAGGGTTTGTCGGTGGTTTCTGTTGACTGTTTCGTGGGGGAGCGTAAGCTTCCCAGGTCGTCGTCATAGCTACCCTCCGGCTCTGACCACCTCATCAGCAAACCAGGGAACGGAATAGTGACGTTACTGCGATATCACAGTACATGGGCGTACTGCATGTTCGCACAGTCTAGACGTTGATCACCCAAGAAAAGACAAAGTGAACCATTAGAAGTCGTTTTGCTCCTCGTCTGTTGAGCTTGTTCCTCCCAGAGAATTTCTCGCGCAGGACAAACTTGGGAAGCTTTTCTGTGGGTGCCATACTCGCAACACCGCATCATGATGCAATGCAGCGTACGAAATATTGAAGCACCGCTTTGGTCCTTACCCGCTATCGATAGCGTGAGATTGCGCATGCGACCGCCGGGGTTGTATTGTGTTCACGGCCGTAAATGGGGCGAGATTGGCCGACAACGGCAAGCCACCTCGTGTTGTTGACAGCGCAGGCGGCAGAGGATACAAGAGTGGTGCCAAGCAGGATAGGTCGCATGGATTCAGAGCGAGGCTTGAGCCGGGGTAAAGGCAGCACCGTGAGGCGACTCAATCATCATCATCGCTATCGGTGAAGTCGCCGTCCCATCCTTCATCGTACTCTTCAGCAATGACCTGCAGGCCGTTACAGAGCGCCTCTCGCTCGTCAACTGCCACCAACCGCTTCACAATCTGCTCAATTGCTCGCACCTGCTCGGCAACAGCAGTGCTGGTGGTGAGGCCAGCATGAACAGCCAGTTTCTTAGTGTGGCCCATGTCAAAAATAGACGGGAAGCTGTCGAGAAAGGGGAATAGCAAGGGCGCGGTGTATCTGGAAGTCGTTAGTGTTTTCCGTAGACCATTCGATAGCTCACGGTTTTCGTCGGACAGCACATCGCAATGATAGACGGCCATGACGCGTGACCCTTTGGTCCATGGAGAGGCGAGCGCCCGGGAAACACGATGCTTTGGAACATACCTTTGCAGTACTGGCCCGTCACCGTATCTATCGCGAGGATTACGACCTGCTTCCTCCGACAAGCTCCAGGCCCCACGACACGCTTCCGCTCTTGCGAAGATGTGTTCTCTCTTGCTGCCTTTACTGGATGCCAGCCGATAGTCTTTGGTGAAGGCGTCAATGTCGAAGCTACTCAGCTGTGCTTCGCTCTCGCTCGTTTGCCTCGGATTGGTGGGGCCAACTTTTCCCGCGTTCAAAAGTTTGTCTGCCGTCTCTTCCGACAGGACGTCTGGGTCGGCAATACTCATCTCGAACTTTGCAATTCTTCGCTTCCCCGTGCTGTTGATTGTGTCTTCAATGTCTTGCAGGGTACCATGTCTGCCATTTGACGTCTTCAACCGCGACGAAAGCGTCATGCTTTCCACGCCAACAGCCTGGAGAGCACTCACGTGCCATGCCGAAGTTGAGTCGAAGGACAGGTAGCGTGGGACCTTGGCTGGCCGGTTGGACAGTGGTATGTATACTGACGACTGTTCGGCAAGGGGTTGCAGTGACCTCGACGAAGTAACAATCTGCTGCAGGCGCCTATCCTGTACGCTGTTAGGAATATGCGTGGCCTTTGGCGAGGAGACATACCCTTGGGATCGCCGTATTGCCTCCTTGATCACCCAGACCCCACGTCCAGATGCTGAGCTTTCCATACTCATCTCTCAGGCGCTCGATCCAACCTGAGGCCCACCCGCCCCAGGCGTCATCGACGCCAGTCATGATCTGCAGGCCTTGCAAACCGTCGCATTCTTCGATGAAGGGTCGGAGGTCTCGGTCCACCAGGTCGACTTCTCTCTCGAGCTTCTCGAAGAGGTCCATACCTACGTCCCAGCTCTCAAAAGGCATGAGCCTGTCATTCACGTCAAACTCGGAGAGCTGAACGATGGATTTGGGGTGATAGTAAACCCGGCTGTAGTCTGACCAGTACTTGACGGTTGAGGTACTCAGCTGCGGTGGTTCTAAACCTGCATCGAGGTGCTGTTGATAGGTGGACTGCGGGATTGGAGCTGCTTTCTGTACGACAGGTTTCGAAGGCCATACTCCCGTCTGGTCCAGTATGCTCCTGTCATCTTCGGCCTCATACAGGGCACTGATCTTTCTCATGCTCCCGAAAGCACCCTTGAGGTCGTAGATGAGCGCCCTCGGCGTGAAGGTGTCCGACCCATCCGGCGCAATGCCAGCTCGGAAGTGAACGTCATGATTGACTGCTGATTCAGGCTCTGGCGGATAGGTGAAGTACGATTCCTAGCACAAGATCAATCCAAGAGACACCCAAAAGTCTTGTGGCGTAAGCGGTGGAATAAGTCTTGTGGGGTAGGTGGTGGAACAAGTCGTGTGGGGTAAGTGGTGGAACAGAGGGGCTCAGAATAAGAACGAGGTGGCCTCGTATACAGCCATGACGGAGCAGAAGTGTACGCGGCCTCCCCACTGACATGCATCACAACAGACTAAAAAGGAGCCAAACAAGTGCAAGCCGAACGGAAGACACGTCTGGGAACTGAGCGGGTGTAAGTGCTTACCTGCGTATTCCAAAAATGCGTGCCAAGATAATTGCTCTGCGAGCCGAACTGGAGGGTGACGATTTCGTGCATGGCGCCGGCAAGGTTCGAGCTGGCAAGGTTCGAGCTGGCAAGGTTCGAGCTGGCAAGGTTCGAGCTGGCAAGGTTCGAGCTGAGCGAGCAGGAGCAGCACAGCAATAATCGAATAGCGGCGACGAGATTACAGAGGGCGAATTTGGTCAGCTTGTCTGGCGGCGTATACGGAGGTGGACGCTGTCGTGAAGTTGTGACAATTTGGCAGCTGCTGAGCTGCCCCACCTGAGATTGTCTGTAAAGAGGCACGATGACGCGCAGCTCCGCAAACACCACAACAGCGAGCTATGCTGAACAGCCTACTTTGCAACCGCTCTCTTTCTTTGCTGTTTCAAAGTCACTCTTGCAGCTGTCTCCCTTTGATCAGGCGTCTGCGACGTCTGCGACGTCTGCGCATCCTCAGTCCCTTCAGCCTCTGACGAAACCATCACACCAAAGGTACTCCATCATAGACGAATGTCTGCTAGGTCCTTACGACCGTCTTGTCTTGCAGACGTTCATGCTCAAGCACGACACGTTTGGTCGTGCAGCACGTGGTGAGGAGGCTGGGTCGGGGGTGAGTCGTGGTATCAGTAAGCGTTTGGCACTCTGCGACGCAGACCGAGGTTGGAGACTCGCTCAGACTGCACGAGACAGGTTCACTGTCACGGCAGTCGGTTGTGCGAGCAATCAGGCCAAGGGTGTTTCGCGACACGGTCGCGCTCGAGACTTGGCCACGGCGCAGAGACAGCAGTGGGTTCATTTGCAGCACCTGCGACGGCCATGACGACAGCGAACCGTCAAGTCGCGCTGGAACGATTGTCACAGGTAGAGCAGCCTCAAACACAAGCAGCGCGCATGGTGCCAACTGTCTGTGATTGTGAAATTGCCATGTGCAGAAACATGGGCAGCGTTGGACAGCGTTGGACAGCGTTGGCCAGCGTTGGACAGCGATGGACAGCGATGGACAGCGTTGAGCCTTCTGGAACAAACGTGGACGAAAAAGAGGCTAGGCAGAAGACGCGTCGCACCTGGTTCGCGTGTCTCTCGCGCAAGATGGGTAGATCAGCAGCCTCCTCTCTTTGCCTGTAGCCGTCACCCGAGGTGGCAAGCGTCGCAGCCAGCCAGCCAGCCAGCCAGCCAGCCAGCCAGCCAGCCAGCCTGCTCTATTCTGTTCTGCTCTGCACTGCACTGTTCTGTTCTGCTCTGCACTGCACTGTTCTGCACTGGACTGTTCTGCTCTGCACTGGACTGGACTGGACTGGACTGCTCTGCTCTGCTCTGCTCTGCTCTGCTCTGCTCTCCGCTCCACTCTCATTTCTCGTCCCACCTCTTGCCCAGCATCGCGTCGGCGTGTCACGACGCACCCGCCCGCCCCTCGGTCCAGTTTGCCGTGGTGGAGGATCCTCGCGACGCATAGACGGCCCCCGTCTGATTCGACATCCGGCCAGTGCGTGTGCACGACAGTCCCCCACTCGCGCGGGCCCGCTGCATAAACACTGCATATTCGCCTGCGACATTACTCCCTCCCGCACTCCTCGCCGCCGGCCATGGCCCGTCCCACCGCAGCGCCGCAGCACCGCTCGAAGCGCCCGTTCCAGCCCGCCATCACGAGCTACTTCCACGCCGCCGACGCCGCCGACGACGACGGCGACGGTCAGCGACGCGGACCGCGGCTCCGGACGATTCCGCAGGCGAAGCCGCACCACGCAACCCTCGCGCCCGCCGTGCCCGACAGCGTGCAGTCCAGCCTGCTCAGCGTCGGCATGCGCGTCCGCAAAGCCGTGCCCGAGGGCTACAAGACCCCCAAGAGCGTCCTGCCGTCCCTTCAATCCTCGACCACAAGCCAGACACCGCTGCGCAGGCCCCAGTCGGCATTCCGCGACGTCCACCCCGCGCTCGAGATCCCGCACGACACGCGAGCCCCCTCGCTCCAGCACCAGCGCGAGCTGCTGCCCTTTTGCGGCCTGAACAAGATCGGAGGCTACGCCGAGCAGCCCTCGGCCGCCGCCGTCTGCAGCGCGGCCACCAACGCGTTCCACCCGCCCCAGACATTCACCCAGCCCTTCTCGAGCCAGGACAGCGGATACGCCAGCGACCTGCAGCGCCCGCGCGGGAAACGCGGCTACGAGGACGACGCGCCGCCCCTCGGCAGCCACGGCTTCCTTTTCCGCATACCGGCCCAGCTGCACGGCGAGGAGGACATTCCCGTCAGTCCGCTGTCCGAGTCCCCGCCGCCCTCGCTGCCGCCGCAGAGACTGCTCGCCCAGCCCCGCGCCAGACGCCACGGCAGGCAGCGAGCGAGCGATGCGGATATGGACTGGGACATGGACCGCGAGGGCGCGCGTGTGCACGAGGGCCGCCTGGCTGCGGGGCACGCGAGTGATTTCGAGGAAGCGGATTTTCTCGACGGCGAGGTGGGCATGGGCGGTGTTTGATGCAGGACTCGTCGCTGCTTCGTCTCGTCCCGTCCCGTCTCGTCTCGTCCCTTCTCGTCTCGTCTCGTCTCGTCCCGTCTCGTCCCTTCTCGTCCCGTCCCGTCTCGTCTCGTGCGGCCTTGTGTTTTGATTCGGACTGCGTTTGGCATGATTTGTTCTGGGTTGGCGACGTTTCTTTGAAAGTTGAGCGGCATTGGTTTCAGGCGTTTTCTCATCCCAGTCTAGGTTAGAGAGGTAGGTAATGATTGTGCTGTCTAGTTATACCCTTGTTTTGGTTGCGAAGAGGTCTGGGTTATGAGTATACGTGTATAGTCTGTACTGCGGAGCTGTGTGTACTGGGGAGCTATGTGTACTGCGGAGCTGTGTGTACTGGGGAGCTATGTGTACTGCGGAGCTGTGTGTACTGCGGAGCTATGTGTACTGCAGAGCTGTGTGTACTGCTTATGGGAGTAATATATCCATACAGGCGACTTGGCTTTGATGTCACAGCGTTTGCCGCGCTCGCTGCATTCAGCGACTTGGCTGTTCTGCTTACTTACCCCCCAGGCACACCAAGGTCACAGCTTCGCATCGCTTGCAGTCGAGTAGAAGGCATTTGCAGTCGAGTAGAAGGCATTTGTAGTCGAGTAGAAGGCATTTGTAGCTTACCACATCATCTTAATGTTTCGTACACACCTCCACCCGTTCTGAATAGGTTCTCTGCCTCCCTATCTCGTCTACATACCCTCTCCAGCCCCGTCTATCCTACAGCCCCGTCTATCCTACAGCCCCGTCTATCCTACAAACCCAATACCACGAAACGAAACGGAAGAGAGCAAAAGAGCCATCCCTTCCCAGCAGCAGCGATACGGTGTCGTCACAAAGTGAAGCATGTTGTTTCGACAATCGACCGATTCAAGGCCATCGGAACACAGCCTTCCACCAACAATATCCATCCATACACCAGTCCATGAAGTCCTGAGTAGGCTGGTAATCCGGCGAGAAGTCTAAGTTCCGCGTTCGAGTCGTCACCGACTCAGCGATGGGTGTGACGGGGGTATGCAGGTCCAGTCCAGATACCGGCAGCGACGGGGAATGTCGTGTACCGGTGTACTGTCCATCCGGTGTAAGCGAGAATTCGCCCTCACCGAGATGGATCCGACTTCCAGCCCACTCAACCTTCACCAAACACGTGCAGAGACTTGCAACTAATGTGCCCTTATCTTTCGTAACTTCTTTCTACTCACACCGTGCAGTAAGAAAATTACGGCGGTGGTTGTCGTGCTAATAGCGATTTCGCAATCAGCATCCGACATTACGACGCTTTCCAGCCCGACTGTGCTAACAGCCATTGCGATTTCTCTGGTTCTGACGTGCTAGAAAGATAGGCCTGGTTGGAAGATACATGATCCTGGTCTTTCGAGGCCTTCGAATTGGACAAGCACGCACTTTGAGATCATCACGCTCTGAGACTAAAAATGTGCTTGGCACTGGGTGGGTTTTACAGGCTTAGAGGTAATTACGTAATGTAGATATCTTTGTTACGGCTGGATGTATCATATCTAGCGCTATTCCTGTTGCAGTTAAATTCTAGCAGCCACCAAGCCCCTTGCACGTACGCTTCACGTGATAAGTTGCCATGCTCAGCTTGTGACCTCGGACCAGAGTCCGTCAACCATCGTCCGCTTGACCAAAACGTGAGCCGTTTCCACGCATGTGGCCCCGCACTCGCGACAGACTTCGCAAACATCCCAGTCTCCACCAGCGCAGAGGTTGCAATGGAAATGAAAAGCAGCTCTCGAAATCCTTGAAGTGCAGACATCGCATTCCAGGTGCGGTTCGTCATTGTCCGTTTCGCATGGCGCTGTTGGCGCAGTGTTGGATTCCCCGTTATGTGTAAGAAGAAGGGTCGATACTGCACCATGCCCTTTCTTCACAGCTATCCAGGAGGGCTTCCGTCCAAGGTTATCAGCTCTTCCAGGGTCGATATGATGCTGATTAATCAGTGCTTCTACAGTGGAAGTCTTGCCGCCAGCTGCAGCCCACCAGAGCAGTGTCCGTCCATAATGATCTTGAAGCTGTAAAATGCTACCACTTGTTAATAGGATATCGATTATCTCTGTATGCCCTCCATACGCAGCCGCATGCATAGCGTTGCCGTAGCGTCCGCCCTGCGCGTTGATGTCGGCTTTGTTGTCCAGCAGCAGCTTCACCACCTGCTCGTGGCCT